CCTTTCAGAGAAGACACAGCAGCAGAGACTCAGAGAGGTTAAGTAGCTCACCAGCATCACACAGCTACTAAATGATGGAACCAGAATTCCTTCACATGACTCCTGACTCCTAAGTTTAGATATTTGCCACTAGAGTATAGGTGATAAGTTAAATACCAGCCAGTCATTTAACATTTGTTTTAAAACGATATGGTATCACAACATTTATACAACATTCTTATCTTCTTTGTAGTGCTTACCTTCTTTTATTGCAAAAAGTCACGTAGAGGATATTCCATCTTTAGAGCCATGGAATTTAGAGAAGTTTCATTTTTTGAGGATATTTAGGATTCATGATGACATGTGAAGAAATTAACCCTTGAACTATATCCCATAGCATTATTCACAGTTGTTTTTGTCTTATTGGTAGAACCCAACAAGTAACTGGAAAGGAATCACTCCCGATCAAAAGGAGACAGTGACTATGTTATTATTGCCTTTTTCTGGACACTAGATGTCAGACTAAGTAAAGTTTTAGAAGTTATTCTTCAAAGTAGGGTGTGGCATAGCATCTAAACCTTAGATATAAAAAATTACAGCTTATACATAAATATAAAGCTTAACTTTATATTTCTAGTAGAATGCAGCAAAGATGTACTTTTGCTAATAAAAAAGTCAGAAAAAGGGGCCGACCCTGTGGCTCACTTGGGAGAGTGCAGCGCTGGGAGCACAGCAGCGCTGGGGAGCACCGAGGCCGTGGGTTCGGATCCTACGTAGGGATGGCCGGTGCGCTCACTGGCTGAGCACGGTGCGGGGTTACGATCCCCTTACCGGTCACAAAAAAAAAAAAAAAAAAAAAAAAGTCAGAAAAAGGGGCCGACCCTGTGGCTCACTCGGGAGAGTGCAGCGCTGGGAGCACAGCAGCGCTGGGGAGCACCGAGGCCGTGGGTTCGGATCCTACGTAGGGATCGCCGGTGCGCTCACTGGCTGAGCACGGTGCGGGGTTACGATCCCCTTACCGGTCACAAAAAAAAAAAAAAAAAGTCAGAAAAAGGGGCCGACCCTGTGGCTCACTCGGGAGAGTGCAGCGCTGGGAGCACAGCAGCGCTGGGGAGCACCGAGGCCGTGGGTTCGGATCCTACGTAGGGATCGCCGGTGCGCTCACTGGCTGAGCACGGTGCGGGGTTACGATCCCCTTACCGGTCACAAAAAAAAAAAAAAAAAAAAAAGTCAGAAAAAGAATTGTTTAATCGGAAAATACATATAGCTATCGTCATGTCTGTTAAACAAACACATTTATATGCACATAAAAATGGTATTTTCTTCCAGAAACAAAGTGATTTTTCTAGAGGCAGTTTATGCCTGCATGTCTGTGATCATTTGCATTTGGAGATGGTGAGAAGTTTTCTTCCCTGCAAGAAGAACCAAACATAGCCCTTACTTGCAAAGGGTGGAGAAGATGAAAGAGTTGGTTTATTAAACCCTGAAATGGTCCCAGGGAAGGATGTGGAATCGTCTTTCTTGTATGGCTTAAGCAAAGACGATGGAGCACGTGGTGCCTCCCAGCTTCCTGACTCATTCATTCCTTGATTTTGGCTTTCAGAAATCTAAAGGAGAATCATGGGTTGAGATTTGGATGTACATTACTTCCTTTTGAAAAAGGCAAGGAATATAGACTCCGTATGTAAGCAAATTAGATGATTTTATCCTTTAACTTAAATGTGTTACTGAAACTTCAATAAGTTTCCATTGAAATGCCTGGAATTCATTGGAAGCTAGAGAGAATTAATTCAAGTCTTAGTTTTAGCAGTTATAGTACATCTTTATTTTTTCAAGTAACAGTAATGAGTCTGAACTGTGTCTAATGATGCACATGAATGTAGACACATATTTCTATAAGTAATTAAAGTTGTAAATAATGTTTCTTAAGTTTCAGGGTTTTATAGGTAGTATACAATGACAGGTGACTTTCGTTGGATATATTTACTCCTATATTTGTTTGGTAACTATCTGTGCCTTGTTTGTGTTAAGATTGCTATGTTAGGGCCGAACCCGTGGCGCACTCAGGAGAGTGCGGCGCTGGGAGCGAAGCGACACTCCCGCTGCGGGTTCGGATCCTATATAGGAATGGCCGGTGTGCTCACTGGCTGAGCGCAGTGTGGGCG